ATGAATATAGACAACAACTTCACAGTTCAACATCACAAATAGAAAGAAGAACAATAACCAGAGGCAGTAATAAGCTGAGATTATTAGCAAAAGTATAGGACACACCTGCAGGATAATTATCCCTTGCTAAAAAGATGCCCACAAATATGCAAAACAAAGAGAACAGCACAGGTAAGAGAAAGGCTGGTGCAACTCTGTTGATCATTTTTACTCCACCAAATACTATGAAGCATAGAATGATTGTCACAATAATCCCATAAACTTGCAGGTCATGTAAGCTTGGGCTGGTAATAGGTTGTGCAATGTCTGTGCCGTTTACCCTCACAAAAGTTGCCGAATCTACAATAGCAAGATTAATTTCAGCTTACATTCACAACGCAGAAATATTTGATTTACACAAAACACATGACTATTGCTCACTGACAATTCAAATTATAAGGATATTAATCAGGGACTTAGTCGAAGCAGAAAGTTTTATCATTCATTTATTATGCTTGACAAATCCAAATATTAATATGATTATATATTAAAAATATATAATTATATTAAAAATTTATTATGCTTGACACCTGTTGCTGATCCATACTGAGTACAAGTGACCAACAAATCTTCAGTCAATAGTCATTACATATTCATATAGGTTGCAAAAGTACCCATCCAAAAAAATTAAAACAAACATAACATACCACTAAAATGGATTGCCTGATAATGGATATGATCTCATGTGATGAACAAGGTTTAACCTACTTTCTTCGCTGAACTCGATAAGTAGCATGAGCACTTTTTTTTCTTTTTTTCTTTTTATTTTGTTTGTACCTTCTAAGGCAAACAGATTTTGGTGCACAAAGATGAAATATTCAAATGAAAGGTGGAAGTATTTAATAAATTTTCTAGTAGTCATATGATTATTTTTTCTCAGCTTTTACCTCTAAAAATTCCAGCCTGAGGTATAGCATTTAGAAATGTCTCCACAGCTCCCAGAACATAACTGTATCAGCAAATAAAGTGGTCAAAAATTTAAAAAAAAAAAATAGCAACAACATGACGGGAAAACAATCAACATGGAATATACTCACAGTGCACCAGCAACAGCATTTCCAAGGAAAAAACACAAACCAATGCTCACTCCAACTTCCGGACCCAGGGCACGACCAATGAGATAATAGGGTCCTCCTCCCTGTATTAGACAGAGAGTAAAAGAACAAATTATAAACAGCTGATACTACATTTGCATCAGATTCCACATTAAGTCAATCACTCAATAGATTTCCATCAGAACAAGCAAATACATTATTTTACCCAATGAAAGATATGTTCTGTACCTTCATTGCACCATTAGTAGCTATTGCACTCAAAGATAAAGTTGTAAGGAAAGTACAAGAACCACAGAAAGCAACCAGCAACAATGATTGCCCAATCCCAGCCATACCTATGATCCTAAAGCATAGTGAGGATCAGAACAAAGCTTACACAAATTAAATAACTGAATAAACATTAATTGGTAAAATGACAACAAATAAACACAAAAATGAGGGTGGAAGTTTATCAATTCTACTCAGCTCTGAAGAAAATAATGGGTTTTTTTTTTTTTCTTTTTTTCAGTTCTTGAGCAATTTCAGGCATATATACATCGAATATTCAACGTCCTAGTAGCCAAGTTGAACTAGAGTTTGTTAAAAACCCAAGTAAAAATCATTTTGTTTGTATGCATCAAGGATTATTAGCATCAGGATGGACATTTCCAGGAATGCTCGGTACAGAACATTCAGAAACGGGGAACTTACCATGAAAATCTGATGTAGTAAATAATCCCTAAAATGTTTTGCAGACAAGGGACAAACACACCCATCATAGTCCCCAATTTGACACTGTTGGCCTGCGTGATACATAACTTGCTTCAGAGGGAACACGACTAAGAAGAACAGTAAATCTCCATGCATGCAGTGACATACTGAAATACTCAAATTGACCGATTTGTTCCAAATTTTATTAGATTACAAAAGAGATGGGAAAGAAGGAAAAAGAAGAAAATTACATAATTCAGCGGTACCTGTGGACGCTCAATTGGAGCATCATCTCCATCTCTAGGACTGGATGGTGCTTGAATCTGATCACCTGCCATACTGGCAAATGAACACTCATCAAACAAATTCAGACTATAACAAATGAAAAGTAGTTCAATTTCAAGAAAATATCAATCGGCTGACATGAGCATCTCAAAGACGAATGTGAATGGAAACATTATGATATTTGATGCTTCAGATTTTCCTCCTAGGGAATAATGTGAACAAATGTAACAAAAATGTTCATTTAAGCCATACCTTTTGAGCCCCAAAATATTAACAAGTGAGTCAAAACCAAACAGTTCCAACTTGGAATCGTTCTGAGAACCATTGACACTTTCATGATTAGGTACTTGTCCATCACTTCCCTCAGAGCCTTTACTTGATCCAACGTCCACTCTAAGTTGTCTACAAATTTTTACAAGTGTGGCATAAGACAAAAAGTACAACAACGATATACAACAAGAAATCAATTTCGTTAACTGATAATAACTAAACACTACAAGCAGATATATCAGAGTAAAACATCAGCAAACTTCTAAAAAATAATGAACCAGATAGGAGAAGCACAATCATCTTCTATTTTTTACTCCAGCGCAAGTCCAAACCCCTAACAGCTATAAATAATGCTCAAATAGCTCAAGCCAAAAAAGTAAACAAACAATAACCCAATTACCACAACACAACATATAACCAAGACGTCATACTTCAAACACAAGGGTGCCCAAAAAAATTAGAAACCGAGATTAGTCAAGATCATGGGGGCTGCTCACCGAAGCTGAAGAAGATGGATTGATACATGCTCAAGTAGCTCAATCCAAAACAATAAACACAAAATACCCCATTTACCACAACACAACATACAACCAAGGCATCACACTTCAAACAAAAGGGAGCCCAAAAAAATTAGAACCCGAGATTACTTGAGATCATTGGGACCGTTCCCAGAAGCTGAAGACGACGGATGAATACTGGGGTCAATCGAGGACATCTCGAGTACAGCTCGATCATGGTCGTGCGCGAATACTGGCCTGTACTTGCGCCCACCCAAACCCCTCCCCGATGAAAACTCGTTCTCGTCCGACAACGCCTCTATTTCCACTCCATTGTTATCGGACGCCATTGCATTAATCTCAATCGGCTCGATTCTCTGGATCTACTTTCTTCCACTGTGTGTTGTGTGAAGCCAGAGCATGAAAAGAGGGACTCAGATCCAATCAAAAGAAGGTAAAAGCCGGGAGCGATCTCTGAAAATTCAAGCACGAGGGTTGAAAACGAAGAAACAATCTTGAATTTGGCACTGATTTTGAAATGTTAATTGTATCTTCGTGAGTGAGAGGAAAAAGGGGGTTTGAAAATTGAAGAACCGAAGAAAAGGAGTTTCCTTTTTCCTTTGCAAGGACTCTGCGCTTGTTTTAACGGAAAGGCCGCGCGTGAGAATCGTGTCGCGCGTCTGTGCGATAACAGTGATATCGTCTCTGCGGTTCTCTGCATTGCGGTTGAAACACGCTTTCTCGTCATTTTAGTGTGTGTGCAGCCATCATGTGTGTATACTCAACTAGAGCTGTCAACGAGTCAAACTCAATGCTAACTCGAGCTCTTAGCCTTTTAACGAATCAAGTCAAGATTATTTGTTAGTTAAACGAGCTAGTTATCGAGCTTCAGTTTGGCTCGTTAACCAACATTAGCGAGTCAAACTCGAACGTGAATGAGTCGAACTATAGAAAATTATATAAAAGTTCTTGTTAATAAGACGAGCCGAGTATGACCATTAACTAAACGATCCTTCAGTATGCTTGAGTTTGACTCATTTATTAAACGAGCCAAGCTCACGAGTGGATGACATTTTTGAACAAGATTTAATATATTTTAAAATGTTTAACGGTAATTTTACCTTTTCGCTTAAAAAATTTCGAGCCGAACTCGAGCATTTAGATTTCGAGTCGAGCTCGAGCTATTATAATTTTTCATCGAGTCGAGCTCGAGCCTCAAAAATTGAGCTCTACGAGCTCGAGCTCGAGCTCGAGCAGCTAAAAAAAAAAACTCAATCCTGCTCGATAAGGTCAATGCTCGACTCGGCTCGGCTCATTTGCAGCCCTAGTTCCATACTTTTGTAAATTGATATATCATTAGTTTTTAGAAAATGATTAATTATTTTTAGCTGAATAATCACTACTTTTACATTTCAAATGTATTATGTTTCAACTTATTTACGAATCACCAAATATCACCATCCTAATATACATTAAGTGCAGATCAACACACATGTTTACCGTGTTCATCACCATTGGATCAACACATATTTAACGATTTTTTCACCATTACATCAACATACACGTTTCACCATGCAGTATCAAATCTTCCCAAAAGTAGAGTGCATACGTTGAATGAGGGGAAAACATAGAATAAATAACTAGATAAAGAAAAATTAAACATATAATATAATATAAAAAAAAAAAAAAACAACAACAACAACAACTTACAACAAAGCGAAACATGTACTTGAGCCAAAAGCTCCTAAATTGGGTTCCCTCAGTATTGATGAGAATTTCCTCAAGAAAGAAAAAAATAATGAGTAAATATGCTATTACATTTTCATGCTTGATAACATAACACTCCCTATAAAAGATCAATTATGCAGCAATGCACCACCAACAAGTTTAAAGTTATAGATTTGCTAATCAAATAGCCACAACTGAATACCAAAACTCCAGAAAAAAATGTCACAATCAGGATTTCATACCTCATGAACATAAACAGAGCAGGTTCTAAAGCAATGTTTTACTCGTTTGGTTTATATCTTCTTCGGCTTTAGGCTCTTTCTCTTCAGATTGTGGGGCCCATTGAGGTACTTCAGCTTCGGCCTCATTTTCTTCAGATTGTAAGGTTGATATCGGTTCTTCAGCTTCACACATTTCCTCTTCGGTCTGTGTTTCATCAATTTGCACCGTTTTTCGATTTCCACAAATTTCCAATCAGCTCTTTCGCATCGGCCTCAAGACCCGTCAACTTCTTTTCCAAACTGCAAACTTTATCCGACAAAATACTAAACCGACCATCCCAATCCTCAACAATTCCATTCATCTTCTTCTCGAAAATAAAACAATTCATCTTAAACTCCTCCTCCTCTCGATATTCCGCAAACGCCCTCCGAGTTTCCTTCAGAGCCTTCCTGTAACCTTCCAACACACTCCCCATCAGATAAAGCTCGCGTTCGAGCCGATAAATCTCACCGTCTTTTTTCTGCGCCTCCTCATATCGAGTCCGGTGCAAGTGCTCGATAATCGAATCCCGTTTTTGCAACTCAGAGAGCATAATCTGCTGGTTAATGCTCGTCTGATCGAGCACGCGTGTTTTCTCCTCGTACAACGTTCTGGCTCGTTCGGCCACATTCTGAATCTGCTCTACACATGTCCCGAAATTGCTGATCCTCAGTTTCTTGTTACTTTCATTATGATGAATGAGATGGGTTTCATCGTTCTGCTCAAGCACCCTTTTGCCTCTGTTGGTGAAGAAAATCGGCATATCCACAGAAGATTGCCCACGGAGATGAACTTGTGGGTTGAAAGCCATCTGGTTGTTCTCCTCTATCGCCGGAAAAAAGTTGCCGGAAAATCCATCTCCGGCGAGAGAATCATTGTGGCAAGGGAAAACACCAAATTTATTTTCATCCTCACCATCTTCTTCTTCTTCTTCTTCTTCCTCTTCCTCGTTTTTTTCTGTGAAGCTCCCAAATGCTTCGGATTTTTTCGCATCACAACGCCTCATGAAAAACTCCCCGAACTCGTTTTTCCATTCAAAATCCATTGCCCTTGCTCGTCCTCTCTCTCTCTTCCTCCTCATCTTCACTGTCCATGCATTTCTCATCATTATCCACCATCTCAACATCTTTCACGCCTTCTTCTTTTTCACCATTTTTTCCAAGCGACAGTTCCACATTGTTATTTTTTTCAACAACCATATTCAAATCAATATCATCTTCCTCGTGCATTTCAAGATCTTCCTTAACATGCTCACATTCAAATTGCTCATTCAAAAACAGCGGCTTACGTTGAAATTTGATCAAGTGCTGCAAATGGGACGCGTAGTGACAGTCTCTTAGCTCTCCACCTTGTTTCAACTCCTTCTCCACCATAAACCAGAACAGACTAGCCCAATCAACTTTGTCCGGCTGCCCGATTCTTATCAGCTCGATTCACCTCATTTGGCATTACCCACGTGTCGTCGTGCAAAAGCATCCAATCCGAGACGAGCTCACTAACGAACCCTATTGACTCATCCGACAGGGGCTTTTCTCCTTCATTTCCTTTCTTCTTCACAGACAGATTGAAAGCACGAGCTAAGTCAGCTCTACTGACTGTAATTCTAAAACCATTGACATATCCAGCACGCGACTGGTAGGTAGCAACTAACTGTGCAATCATATCGATCTGAATATTTCGATCCAACTCGGCGTGAACAAAATCCCACAGGCCGAGCTTCTTCAAAAGCTTCTCGTGCTTGGCGAAATCGAGGATTTTGTTAGGTATGAAGGGGTCAGGGTTCAAATTTGCCGTCAAGGTTTCCAATTTTTCTGCTATAGCATGTTGTTTCATGGTGTTAGGTTTGATCTTCTTCCGCTTGCCGGATTCCCACTGGGTGATCGGGCCGCCGGAGGGTGACGTGGCGGCGGCTGTGATTGGGGGGTCCACGTGTACATCTCCGCCGTCGTCGTCATCGCCTTCATCCTCGTCGTCCGGGCAGTTGGCTTCCTCGTCGGGAGGGGGATGCGGCGGAGGATCGGAATTTTCCGGCGGAAGCGACGGGTCGGAGGGATTTAGGGTTTCGGGATTGAGAGCAGGAGAGTCCTCGCGTAAGACGTCGGAATCATGGGTCGGATTTGGCGACGGCAATGGATCGGACATTGGCATTGGCGGCTTTTCTGTTCACTCTCCGAGCTTCTGAATCACAGTCTTCCCCTTCGTCGGACCCCACGCCGTCGCCCTTTTAACGAAAGAAGATTGGGGACTTTTTATATTCCTAAGACCAGTTGCACTATCGTGTGCCTAGGCACACCTTGCTAGGTGTGCCATGCCCGATTTGCACGCGCTGCTCATTCTCAAAAAGCTCAAAAAGCTAGAAAATTTAGAAGGTGTAGTGCACTCTCCCAATTTTTATTTTTTAATGAAAAAATGAGACATATTACATAAATTAAAATATCATTAATTATTTATATTAAAAAAATAAAATAAAAATACCAAAATTCATAATTTTTCATTATCTATAAATAGAGACCACATTTGATAGGTTTTTGAACACAACTAATTTTCGTTTTTTGGTAACATGTTCACCTTATTGTGTATGTAAGATGTTCATTTTATTCTATAACATGTCATTTTATTATGTAACATGTTCATCTTATTCTATAACATGTTCATTTTATTATGTAACATGTTCATTTTATTCTATAACATGTTCATCTAATTTTCATCTGTGAAAATGTAACATTTTCATCTTATTAGAGAAGATTTTGGTTTGTGAAGGTGGAGGATATTCGATCGAAAGACTAATTTATGAAATTTCTTTTACATTCTACTAGTTTTTCACTTTCATTCCA